AGCCAAGGAAGACACAAGGAACAGCGCGGGAGGAGAGCTTGTCCGCGGACGTATCGCGGACAAAAGCACGAGATCCCCAGACCCGGAACACCGACGCATCGCCAACCTCTCCCGTCCAACGCAGTGTCGGCGAAGTCTCCGGAACGGAGACACGGGGCCAGAGGTTGAGCTGATGCGCATCGTATCGGACCGCAAACGGCCACAGAAAGTGGGGGGCAGCCGCATGGATCAAGGAGGTACGAGCGACCTCCATGACCAAGCCAATGCGGCGCTCAGCAACCCCATTCTGCTGTGGAGAGGCCGGAAGCGTGAACGACTGCTCAATGCCCTCCCCACGACAAAAGTCCCGCAAGAGGTCGGAGGAAAACTCCCCACCTCTGTCAGAGTGCAGACGCAGAACAGGAAAGTCCGAGTGGAACCTCTCGTTGAGCTGGAGACGGGCAGTGCGGATCCAAGGGATCAAAACATCAGGGACTTCACCCTTGGTGCGCAAGGCGAGTGACTAGGTGGTAGAGTGTGAGGTACATCGGGGGAGGGTTCTTGGCGAGGAAATCAGGAGGAAGCGCGGCACGGTAGCGGAGATCACTAGTACGGAGGTGAGTGATGAGGTCAGCTACAGTGGCAAAGGCGGACAGATCGGGGAAGAGATAGGGCAGCGAGAGACGGCCTATCGCAGCAGTAGCAGGGGAGGAGTAGCGCGCAACTACAGCATTGTACAGCTCCTTAGCGGTCTTATGCTGGCCAAAGTGCTCGCGCTCATCTAACGGCAGGTGGCTGCGAACGGCTAGGCGAGCGTGAGCGTCACGGATCTACCACTGTGAGCGAGCTGTACTGTCAGCGGTAGCAGCAGGTGCGAGAGCTACGCCGGACGTGTGGTCAAACAGGGAAACATCGTCCTTGGCAGTGATCTGGAGGAACAGGTGCAGGTCATCGAGCCAAACGTCAAACTTAATCGGACGGCCCTTAGAGTCAAAAGTGAGAACAGTAGGACTGGCCATAGTGGCAGTAGCAGCAGTAGCAGTAGCAGCAGTAGCAGTAGCAGTAGCAGTAGCAGTAGCAGTAGCAGTAGTAGCAGTAGTAGCTGTAGCAGGAACAGGAACAGCACTTGCTGCAGGTGGGGCGGCGCGGCTCGATCAGGGCGGCGCGACTCGGGCGGCGCGACTCGGGCGGCGCGACTCGGGCGGCGCGACTCGGGCGGCGCGACTCGGGCAGGTAGGGCGGCGCGACGGCGGGCCTATGCACGGTGCGCGGCGGCGCCTAGGGTGCGGCTGCGCGCGGGCCACGGCTGCGTTCGTGCGGCGGCTAAGCGCGAGCTGCAGCAGCCGACGCGCGATCGCCGCTGCGCGCGGGCTGCGACCTGCGGGCGGGCGGCGGTGGGTCGAGCGTCGGCCTAGGGGCGAGCGGGGCCTACGGGCGACGGCCTACTGGCGCGCGCGAGAAAAAATCGGGCCGCCCTAGGCGGCTAACGAGCTACTCGCGCTAAAAACGCGGGGCCGCGCTCGGGCTGCTAGCGGGCTGCAAACGAGCAGCGTGAGAGGAGGGCGCGCGAGGGCGCACTAGGAAAGAGGCGCACGAGGGCGCTAAGACGGTAGGGCGCACGAGGGCACCTCTAGCGGAACGGTGGGCCCTTAGGTAAGCGGTCCTAGGTCCCTAACCTAGGCTCTTAATACCATGTCAGAATGAGAAGTGGTTGAACTAGGAAGATTGGGAGTACAAGTATGAAACCCTAGAAGCTGTACCCCCTAAGGCTAAACCCACTACAGCCTACAGAACACAAACATGTACAATGTTTGACAGAAGGACGTAACCCGAGGTCAGCAAGAGTGGTGCGTAACATGTCGTACTGCTCACGGGACGCCTGGCGGAGACCGTAGACTGGTCGCCTCAGGCTTTATTGGGTCTCAGGTGGGAAAGTGCAGGTGAAGCCATGAGGACGGCGCAACCATATCTCCTCGTGTAGGCGGCTCTAGAGAAAGGCAGTGGAGAAGTAGAGGGAGCGCAGCTCGTAGTCTCGCTGTGCTTCAATGTGAAGTAACACCCGAAGAGTTGTCATCTTTGGGGTCGGGGCCAAGGTCTGGAAAAAGTCAACTCCCTCACGCTGACTGAAGCCTCTAGCCACGTAGCGCGCCTTGAAGACATGCGGTGATCCCGGTGGCCGCTTCACCTTAAAAATACACAGCACATCGACTACGTTCGCCCCAGGCGGGGGAATTGTGTCAATGTAAGTGCCTGTGTATCTCCAAGACGCCATTTCTGAGTCCATGGCCGCTATCCACTGAGAGGGCCACTTCCCTGACACTGCCTCGCAGTACGTGCGAGGAGTCGGTATGTTAAGGGCATTGGGGTCTCTCTCAGGGGCTAGCAGCATGGCACAGAGAAGGGGAGAAGCGGCTGCCAAGAAATCCAACTCAAATTGTCTGTCCTCCAGGACGTCACACGCCCTGGGCAACTTTGTAGCTAGGGATGTTTCAGTGGATTTTTTCTACGTATTGCAATAATTCAGGACTTTTAGAATACGGTAGATGAAGTACACCAGGCTAGATAAAAAAAACTGCTGAGGAATGTCATTTGTAAGCTGTTTGAAATGCAAAACAGTGAAACTCGGGGCCATCTTGAAAGAGAGCATGTCGAGCAAAACAATCTTCAAACCAAACCGACAAGTTTGCACTCTTTCATTGAGAGCGTTTGAACAGATCGAACACATCTGATTGGTTCCCGCCAAAACCGGAAAAGAAAAGAAGAAGAAGAAGAAGAAGAAGAAAAAAAAAACAACAACAACAACAACAACGACAACAACACAGCACGCCTGGCGTCGCATCTCTGTTTGGGGAGCCCCACAGCAGAAGCACTGCGATCGTTTTGTCACGTCCTTGCGATTTTGGGCCCAGCCTGGGGTTCAAGTTGGGCCTGGGTGAACTACTACACCTGTACTCCGATATCTTCACGGGGTGACACGAAACTGGTTGCACTACGTGGAAACTTCAGCCGATCTTGATCCTCTCCGTCATGGCTCCTCTTGGAAACTTCAGCAGCCTCAATGTCAAGCTCATCTAAATCAGTTTCAACATCTGATTACGTTTTCGGGATCTACTAATCAAGAGCTAGCTTATGATACCTTTTTTGTGTTCACAAAGAGAACATCGGTTCATCGTTGCTGCTCCTGTAAAAACCCGATTTCAGGTTCTGAACTGCATTTGAAGCTCAAGACATTGCTATAGCAGCTTCCAAGGAAGATATTATGGCTTGGTTAATATCAGAGAGTTACTCGAGATGGCAACGGGAAAGTGAAACAGCCTCGAGACAAAGCAGAAAACGGAAAATACAAGAAAGCTGGTCAACGCAATGTATTCCGTCTATCAATCTTTGCTGCCATTCAACGACAACCAGGGAAAATCGAAGCTATAAGCCAAGTGTGGACACCTGTACGACCTCCGGAAAAAATGGTCAAGACTGGATCAGATGCGGCTCTTAAGGAAACAACGTCCACAGCATCAATGGAGCGTGAAGACACTGCTACTCTCATCATGGCTTTTGACATGTTCGAAGATGAGGAGTTATTTCCTACGTTTGGAGGTGGATACTTCTTTTCTAACTTTCAGGACAACTTGAAGGCAAATGAAGCCGACGCCGCTGGAGTTACTAAGAAGCTACAAGAAATATATATGCAACTTGAAGAAACAGATTCATGGCGCCAAGGTAGTGAGAAGCTCCCCTCAGCAGGAGCCATTAACATTTTTTCTGAAGGCGTTTCCTTCTATGGAGAGAGTACCAGAACATCAGTAGCAGCTCGAGCTGCTGCAAACTTCCGGGCCACATTGTCTCACCCACCATTGATGGAACACCCAACCACAGTTGCCATTGCAACCGCTCTCCACCGCATTAGAAGAGAAGTGACAAGTGCAGCTGCTGCAACCACTTTCTGGGTCACTCGACACGGCGAGTTCTTTTTACAACCCAAGCAGGTCAAAAGTCCAAGAGTTACCGGTATTCCAAACGGGCAAGACAATATTTTCAGGCACTTGGTGTTTAGACCCCCATAAGAGGTTCAGAGGGTACGGTACAGTGTACCTAAGCCCTACGAGGGCCAGTACATTGACCTTAGCCCTCCCCCAAACGGTTACGACCGCCGGTGTTTAGCATTGTATAATCTCATTATATACTGCATTTTCACCTCAAAAAAAAAAAAAAAAACGGGGTCACATTCCCGAATCGCGGAAACGATTGCCTGAGAGGGCGTGAAAATATACGGAGCAATAAAGTCCCCCTTAATTTCACACTCGAGCCGCAAAGCCTGCTGCTGACATGGACAAAAAGTGCACGACGATCTCAGGAAATTTTTACAGCCATTGCGAAATTACCACGTCAGGATTGCGTGTGGTCGGAACCCATCCGATACAAAATCAGGGACCCGTCTATGTTTGTTTCTGAGGAGTTTGTGTCAGCCGTTCAAGCGTTGCAACAAGTTTGTTACATGACGTAACTGAAATTGTGGGCTTTTGTTGATTTGACACGAAGGCGAAATCCCATGATCAGAAGACCTCCTGCAAACACCAGAAGCTCAAGCGTCCAAGTCACCCCCTCCAGTATAAATTGCGTCATTTCTGTGGAGGGTGGTCTAGATGTTCAACCACACTTTGGCAGCTCGGATCCCAACAAAGTTGGGCTGAGGACCCCGAAGTGACACCGAAGCGCGGTGTGAAATTAAGGGTAGTGAAGATATCGGAGAACAGGTGTACTAGTTCTTCATATTTTTTCGTGCTTCTTAGTTATCAGTAGCTTGTCTAGCCATATAACCCTGAACTTAGGCTGTTGTTACCGCAACTTAAACGCGTAGTGATTAGCTGGCATGGTTGCGCAGTACTTGTGCCGTTTTGATCGCCCTCTCGCCGCCTTCCTATCCCATCTCACTCGCCCTCCCGTGAAAATCGTCCTTGGGCCTCAGTCCCGACGCCGTCCCGTCGCCCGTCGAGTCGCGATCCTGACAAGGCCCGTCGCCCGAAATGTCGCCTCCACTCGAGGCCTGTCGCCTTGCTATGTCCCTTGCTAAACCCTCCCCGTGCTGCCCGTCGCAGCGCTCTCTCTCCCCTCCCCTCGGTTCGGGTCGCCTCGCTATCTCTCCCCTCCCATCCCAACGCATCGCCATCTCTCCCCTCCCAACCCGTCGCCTCGCTTTTTCTCCCCTCCCATCCCGCACCCTTCCTCTCCCGTCGCCCGTCTTCTCTCCCGTCGCCCTTCCTCTCCCGTCGCCCTTCGCTCCCGTCGCCCTTCATTCTCTCTCGTCGCCCTTCTCTCCCGTCGTCCTTCTCTCCCGTCGTCCTTCTCTCCCGTCGCCCTTCTCTCCCGTCGCCCTTCCTTCACTCCCGTCGCCCTTCCTTCTCTCTCGTCGCCTTTCTTCTCTCCCGTCGCCCTTCTCTCCCGTCGCCCTTCTCTCTCACGTCGCCCTTCTCTCCCGTAGCCCTTCTCTCCCGTCGCCCTTCTCTCCCGATGATAATGCCCAGCAACTTGTTAGTATATTTCTTGAAACATATTTTTGTAAATATTTACCTCCCCTTCCCGCCGCCTTCGCTCTCTCCCCTCCCTTCCCATCTCCTTCGCTATCTCCCCTCCCTTCACGTCGCCCCCCCTCCCTCCTCTCCCTTCCCATCTCCTTCGCTCTCTCCCCTCCCTTCCCGTCGCCCTCGCTCTCTCCTCTCCCGTCCCATCTCCTTCACTCTCTCCCCTCCCTTCCCGTCGCCCTCGCTCTCTCCTCTCCCTTCCCATCTCCTTTGCTCTCTCCCCTCCCTTCCCGTCGCCCTCGCTCTCTCCTCTCCCGTCCCACCTCCTTCGCTCTCTCCCCTCCCTTCCTGTCTCCCTCGCTCTCTCCTCTCCCTTCCCATCTCGTTCGCTCTCTCCCCTCCCTTCCCGTCGCCCTCGCTCTCTCCTCCCCCACCCAATTTCCCCTCTATCGCCCAACTCGTCGCCCTCGCGCGCGCTTTAGAACGCCCTCCCCGCCCCTTCTTATATCCCCTCGAATCACCCACCTCGTCGTTCCTATCACCCACCTCATCGCCCTCGCTCTCTCCTCGAAACGCCCTCCCGTCGCCCTTCTTCTCTCCCCTCCCATCATCCATCTCGTCGCCCTCGCGCTCTACCTCACGTCAACCTCCCATCACCCTACCATGCATCGATTTTTCTCGCACAATTCTCTCCACGTGTCTTCGTTTCCGATGCCCTATCTCTCTCTTATCTCGTCACCTTGAAATTCTTTGTTATTTTCATCCTCTTGTTTTTCCTATGTTGTGATGGCAGACCTAGCAGGCCCATGTCAAAGGCGTTTGCAGTGCGTGAATTGCACATGCTGCAGTAGTCGAAATTGGCACGGCATGTACATGTAATTTGCACGTCGCAAACTTGCGACACATTTGCCTATGCTTGCGACAGATTGTTGTTTGACAAAATTTGGTGAAAGACTCGACTAGTGCTTCTCGCGTTTGGAAAAATATTACGGAAGAACACTTCAACACTCCAAAGTGAGTTTGAGACTTCAAGTGGACCCAACTACGGTAGTAGGGGGGTTCACTATTTTAGATGCGGGCTTTAAGTCACTTGATATTTATTTCATTACTAGTACGGTACCAGGAGTTAGCTTGCTTTGTTTAAAAATATATGAATGGCAAAGGTGAAAATGCCACAGGCAAAGTTTGTTTCTTTGTTTGTTTGTGTGTGTGTGTGTGTTTTCTTTTGTTTTTTTTTACGATGAGAGATTACACTATAAAGCGCAAACAAACATCAACAGTCGTAACTGGCCACAGGCAAAGCTGACGACACTAAAGCGAAACTATTGAGGCGAGCTTGGCGCGCTCTGGTTGTCTGTCTACGCGGAGCGAGCCATCTTCCTGCTGGCTACGGCGCGTGACTGGCGGCTGATGTAGGAATGATGGAGAGACGGACGTCCACCATTGGTTATTCTTTCCCGGACCGCGACACCAGAAACTAGGCAATTGCATTGGCTGCGTTCACACAATTTCACACCGAATGCGCTGCCTGCCCAATCATATCGTAACTATCAAGGCCTGCCTTCCACAAAAATCTTTCCACAAAAAATGCTCCCCAGCCAGAACTGGAATTTTTGCGGATGGAGCGTGCCTTGGGATTTCTGGCGGGGAAACCTCAGGAGAAGCGAATCAATCTCAGGCGTCAAACGAAACGAAATGACCCGAACCGAAGCGGCGTTTCGTATGAGGATCTCCGAGAACTTCGTGGGACCACAACATTTCAGATTCATCTCACACCCTCCCATCCCACCCGCTCGATGTACTCTGAGCTGTTCAAGTGTGCCCCCCTCATCCATGCATGCTTGCCCAGGCTGTCTGTGTGACTGGTGGCAGATTCAAACTCGCCGCCACCTTAGGATTATCCAGACTGACCCACCCCCAATCCATTTCGTGTCATTCATTTGTGGCTTGATGCTTCAACAACTCGCCAGGCCCAGCTCGTCGCTCTCAACTTTCTTTCGACCTTTCTTTTTACGTCAGCAACGGCATCCCACTATCGAACTCGTAGACTGCTCTTTTTTCCGTGCTCCGGCCTTCGTAGTGCTGGCCCAGTGGATATCACAACGTCGTAAACATAGACTGGACAAGACAGGTCTTTAGCAAAAGCACACTTGCAGCTGAAGCGCAGTGAACGGAGCAGGACGCAGCTATGTCTTCCTCAGCCTCGTGCTCACTCTCCTCTCTCTCCGTCGCTTCTCCAACGCAAGCCGACACACCAAACCACTCCTCAGTCACCTCATTTCCAGACCGCTCTCTCAAGCCGTCGCTCCGTAGCCCGCTTCCGCGCCCCGCCTCCCCGTGCTTTCACACCGGCTTGCTTTCCGTCAGACCGGGGTTTATCCAGCGTTATCGTGGCAGACTGAATCCGTCAGTGCCGTCAGCATCCTCCCAGCACACGCTACCGGCGTCCTCCCGGAATTCGCTCTCGACTGGACGAGGACGAGATCATGCTCCTGCCGGCAAGCACCAGTCTACTATTGAAGAAGGTCGAACGGTGGTCTCTCCCGCGACTGACGCCGCACCCCTGCAGGGGTCCGTTCAAGAAAAAAGACCTGCCACGTCACCAGGATCTGTTCGGTCCGTCGCCAACGGCTGGGATGAGCTGGATAATCTGGAGGATACGACGGTGAGGCGGAGCGCGCGGAGTAGCGCGGGAAGTAGGGGAGGCGGGGCGCGGAGGACCGGCAGTGCGCGGTTCCGGGTCGCAGAGGAGCTGCGCCGGAAGCACCGGGAGCGGAGCCAGGCGCAGGAAACGCGGAAACAAGGGGAACGGTACGAGGCGCAGCAGGTTCCGCCATACCGGGAAGGGCAGCCGCAGCAAGCGCAGCAGCAACAGCAGCAGCGGCGATACTCCGAGAACACGCGTGCATTTGAGCCGGAAGTGGTTCTCGAGGGGCCTAACGAGGGCGGCGAGGAGTGGAAGAGAGCAGCGGGTCGCGTGTGGGAATGGATAGCTGTGAAGAGCGGAAACGGCGCCGCCGGCGGCGGCGTCGGCGCTTGGTCGTTCTTTGAGCCGTTGTCTGCGAAATATTCTGCTGGTAACATTTCGCCCGGTTCCGAGGGAGGTTTCGCGGATCTCGTTCTTCTCGCAATCTTTCGCGTCGTCCGCTTCTTCCGCCGAGCGGCTGCTTCGCTCAGCGCCACCATCGTCGCCGCGCTACCGTCGACTTCCCAAACGACACTGGTGAGTCATATCGCGATGCTTCGTGTCTCACATCGCGGTGCTTTGTGTGTCATATCGCGGTTCTTGGTATGTCAACGCAGCTTCAACACTGAACCCCGTCGTCTCCCCCTCCCCACTCGTTTCTTCTATTCGTCGTCAGATAAAGGCCGTGGTGGACGGTGCGCTGCTGCTCTCAGGAGTGTGGCTGCTGCGAGGCGTCTTCGAGGTGAGATTTCTGTTTTCGAGGCTCTCAGGATTTCCGCCCTCCCTCCTTCCGCTCACACGAAGCGCTAATGCCGCCCTTGTTCCTGTTGTCGTTCGTGACATCGGCGGGTATCAGCGAAAGCATACTTTCCTCCCCCTCCACCACCCCCCCAAACCCCATGTTTTCTTCTGTCGCTCTGTCCCTCTCTCCCTCATCGCGCATTTCTTCTTCAGTTTCCCGCCGTCTCTTCTCGAGCTGTGTCCAAGGCCTCACATCTTCGTCCGTCCCTTTTCTCTTCTCTCCCCGGCCATCCCTCACCAGTTCACTTGGCGTCTGGGCTCCATCGCGCTCCTCTCTCTCCTCCCCGCCCTCGGCGCCATGACCCTTATCTCCGCCACCAACGCTCCGCGCCAACCGCACTCCGCGCCCTTCCCCGCGCACCCGCGCGCTCCCCCATTCGCCTCCGCCCCTCCTCCCCCTCCCCCTTCTCCGCCACCCCAGGGCCGCCGCCAGCCCCCCTTTTCTGGCGTTCAGCCCGTCCCTGGTAGAGTCGCTTCCGTCGAAGTAGATTATAGCGCGTACAGAGATCACGCATCATGGCACGAGGGCGAGCGGTACACGGCAGGGGAGGGATTCGGTAGGCGGAACGGGCGATTTGAGCGGTGGGAGGGGGTGAGCGACGACGAGCTGGGAATTGGATATGCGTCGAACGGATATGCGTCGGGTGGGGACAGCGAGAGTAGCCTGAGCGGAGTAGCCAATGGAATCAGCCATAACGGAGCAGACGCAGAGATAAATTTGAACCCTAGCATCGATTCGGCTGCTACCGAGACAGTTGGACGAATCGTGGGTGATACCAACCATCGGCCACGAGCAGCTGCTGACGTCAGTGCGTACGACCATAGCGAAGCGGTCGCAGCTGCTTATGGCGCGGATGCTTTCCATTCTGTAAATGGTACAACTGCTGCTGCTGCTGCTGCCGCTGCGGCTGCTGCCGCCGAACATTCCAATGTACATAATTCTAGGAGTGGTGTGCGCATCATCGGCAGCAGCATCGGCAGCAGCGTTGGCAGCAGGGGTATGCGCGTGTACGGGTGTTGCAACGGCACCTGCCCTGCTTGCAGAACGCCCGCGTTTACCAAAGCAGTCCATGGCGGGGATAGGGCCATGAGTGATGTGCAAGGAGTTAATAGACCTGGCAGGGGCAGCGGGCATAATAGTGTGGCAGGGGTTGACAGGGCTGGAATGCTGGTGGAGAAGGAAAGTGTAGCGGCAACCTCAGGTGCAGTCGCAGGTGTAAGTTCAGAGATGAGAGCATGGAACGAGGCTTTTGTCGCTAGTGCTCCGCCCCTAGTCCCTACTTATGAAGATGGTGCTCCTGCTGCTTCCGCTGCTCGTGGCGTGGGCGGGTTTCACGACGTAGCCTCTGCTTCCCCTGTGTCGGACGATTATTTTTCACCCGTGCTGCCCGATTCTATTGCTCACGCTAACGCGGCGAGGAGGCTGGAATCCGTCCGATTGGACCTCAAACGCCACGTGGCTGCTGAAACGGCTAATTCTTCTGCTGCTCCTGCTGCTACAGCACCTCCTGCTGTTACTGCCCCAGCAGCCGCTGGCAATACTGCTAGGGTACCTGGTTTCCTTGACCCAGCGGGAACAGCAGCAGCAGCAGCAGAACCTGCAGCAGTAGGTCTAGGTGCAGAGGAGTGGAGATGGGAAGACGCGAGCAGAGAGGATGACATGAACCTCAACGCGGTCTTCCTTGAAAATTTCTGCGAGTGGCCGCGCAAACGCGTTGCTGTGGCTGCTGCTGGGACCAGGGTGGACCCGCCTTACCGAGTGGATAGGGTGGGGCGGGCGGGCAGGGCCGACCGGGTGGGGCCTGCTGTGGGGAGAGCAGGTGCGGGAGGGGAGAACAGGGCGGCGCCTAGCAGGGCGGCGCCTGTGAGTGAGAGCGATGGGGTACAGCCAAGGCAATGGGATGTGCACGCCAGTGCGATGGGAGGAGAGATAGGAGGCATGGCGCAGGAGAGCAAGAAGAGTGTTCCTGGGGGGGCTGGCCTGAGCCTGGACTCGTTTGGGTTGGATTCCCTGGGGTTGGATGCGCTGGGGTTTGATGCGTGGCAGGCGTTCATGTGGGCGTCTGACAGGATCTATGGGAGCAGCTATGGGGACTACAGCTTCCACCGCAGGCAGGGGGGGACAGGGAGAGCAGGGGGGGCTGGGGGAGCGGGGGGAGCTGGGGGAGCAGGGGGAGCAGGGGGGACTGGAGGGGCAAGGGGACAGGGGTTGCTGGGAGGAGAACGAGGGCAGCAGCAGGCAGGACAGGGGGGGCTGTCTGGCAGCAGGAGGGGTATGCCGGGCTGGGGTATGGGAGGTGTGGGTGGGATGGGGGGGATGGGAGGTGTGGGTGGGATGGGGGGGATGGGAGGAAAAGGAGGTATGCCTTTGACGGTTTCCCAAGGGGAGAGGCAGCAGAGCGGTGGTTGGTCAGGAATGCGGTCCAGCAGCAGAAGGCAGGGGAAGCGCTCTGAGTGGGACTTTGACCTGAATAGCATGCCATGAAGTGGTGCTACCATAGCAGCAGAAGGCAAGGGAAGCGCTCTGAGTGGGACTTTGACCTGAATAGCATGCTGTGATGTGGTGCCACCAGTGTGTGCATTTGATTTATTCTCAGGGAGGCAGGCAGCAGAGCGGTGGTTGGTCAACGACGCGGTCTAGCAGCAGAAGGCAAGGGAAGCGTTTCGAGTGGGATTTTGACTTGAATAGCATGCCATGAAGTGGCGCCACCACAGCAGCAGAAGGCAAGGGAAGCGTTCCGATCCGAGTGGGACTTCGACCTGAACAGCATGCCGTGATGTGGCGCCACCAGGGTGTGCCTGGGAGTGCCCCACCACCGCATGCCATTATGTGCCACCGCTACAGCATGCTCTGATGTGCTCTCAGCCTTCCACCATAGCACGGCACTGGCTTGGCTGTATGATATGCTAGTAGCTACCTCAGCTGCTTCATGGGTGCAGGTTGGTTGGTTACGCATGGATGGATAGAACATACGGGCTCACTCCAAGAGCATTGCTCATTTTTGGGACTCGGCCATGTGGTTTGGGCCAGTTTGAGTAGAAGCAGTCAACCGGATATCTAGTACGGTATAGTGCACGGCACAATTTATACCGCGTCTCATTTTGTTTTTCTGGTCTTTAGCAGATCTGGGGACTTGTAAATTTCAAGTATTTGTAACGTGATCAAACATTTATAGATCTCAAGCATATATTGGAGAAATAAATTACTGTACGTATATCAGTTTTACCTCCCCTGCGATCTCACCTCACCAACCCAATCTCCAGGGATCAACCTGCCGAAGCACTTTTTGTCAGGTCAGTGGTTGGGTGTCAGGCTAGGCGGGGCCAAGCCAAGACATTTACATTTGCTAGACTCACCACTGACAGAATTTCTCTGTATCTCTTTCCTCGTACGTCTGTCTCGCATCCACCAGACTCCGGCAATGCCTAGTGCGTGCGCGAAACCGGTACTCTCGTTACGCGTCGACGCCAGTAAGAATAGTCGTACCGTATTCCACCGTACCAATTTCGTTTTGTCAATGCACTGATCTGGACGCATTTGAAACAGTTTCGTTTGCAACATGACGTCGAGCGGGGGGGGAAGCGGAGGCGGTAGGCCGCTCGCTTTCTTAGAGGACATGAATCTTCCCGCGCCGGAAGCGGCGGAGGAAGATCGCGGGGGAGCCTTTTCCGCGCATCAGCTTCCGCAGGCAGTTTCCGCCTCTCCGCCAGCCAGTTCCGCGCAGCCTATCACGGCCAATGCGCCATCCACGCAAACTGCGCTCGCGCAGGCGCCGTTCCCAGCGCAGCCTCCCCCGTCCGCCGTTGCGCCGTATGCTGCTCGACCGTCCGCGTATCCCGCAACAGCAGCCACCCCGCTGCTGTCCATCCCCGCGTCCTTTCCGCCCGCTTATGGCACGCAATCCGCTTCCGCCGGTTCCGCTCTCCCTGTTTCCGCGTTTTCCGCTTCCGCTTCTGGACTGATGCAATCACAGCCGCAGCAGCCGCAGCAGATACAAGCAGGTCAGCAGATATTTCAGCAGCAGCCGCCACAGTTTCAGGCGCAATATCAGGGAGGAACGTTGCAGTATCAGCCGCAGCCGCAGCCGCCGCAGCAGCAGTCGCAGCAGCAGTCGCAGCAGCAGTCGCAGCAGCAGCAGCCGCAGTTTTTCCCGCAGCCGAACCAGTACCAGCAGCAACAGCAGGGTGGGCAGTATCAGGCGCAGCCGCAGCAGTTTCTGCACGCACCGTACCAACAGCAACCAACACAGCAGCCATCACAGCAACAGCAGCACCAGCAGCAGCAGCAGCACCACCAGCAGCAGCAGCAGCAACAGCCCGTAACCTTATGGGCTGGCACATCAGGACAAGGAAGCACTGTAGCAATGGGTGGTCAGGGCACTGTAGCAATGGGCGGCCAAGGCAGTGTAGGCATGGTGGGTCACAGTGTGTCTGGTATGATAAGGCCCATGCCCATGCTGGGCGGCCAATTGCTATCCCACCTCTCCTCCACTGCTCCCCAGCAACCTGCTAACCTAATCCGCTCCCCACGGCCCCCCTTTCCCCTTGCTTTCCCCCCTACCTCCGCTCCCATTAGCTCCGCGCCCTCCCCCTTCCCCATGCATTCTAGCTTCCCCCCCGCCTTTCAGCAAGCGGGAACGCTGGTGCCGAGCCAAGCGCCGAACCAGCTGCCAAGCCAGCCCATGGCTCGGCCGCATTTTGCCCCTGTGGTAGGCCAATCAGGGCCGTCCACGTCAGCAGGGCAGTCCACGGCGATTCCTCTGTTAGGCCAAGGATTGGTTCCTCTTCCTTTTCCGAGCACTGTAGCAGCCGGCACTGTAACGCACAGTACTGTAGCGAGTACTGTAGCACCGGTTGTAGCTGCTCCTACCTCTGCTGCTACAACTGGTCTTCTCTGCATGCCTTCTGCTGCACCAGCAGCAGCAGCAGCGGCACCTGCAGTGAGCAAGCCAGCAGCAGCGTTTGCAGGGCTGGATCTAAACGCCTGTCCAGATGACGCCACTTCCCTCTCCTCGCCCACCTCCCTCGCTGCCACCGCTGCTGCCAGTGCGGATGCACCTGCTGCTACAGCTGCCGCCACAGGCCCCGCTGTTACAGCCGGCCCTGCTGCGGCCGCTCCGCAAACGTCTCCTGGGTTTGCACCTGGGATGGGGGGAGGGGTGAGGGGCCCCATGGGGCTGGTTTTGCCACCCCAGTACAACGCCCCCTTGGGAACTGGCGCTCACTATAGCAATGCTATGGGAGCAGCAGCAGCAGCAGCGCCCGTGACAGGAGCACCACAGTACAGCGTTCCAATGGGCCCAGGCGTGCCTGTGACTGCGCCCCATCCCATGGCCCCCCAGTTCGTTCCACCGCTCCATACCGCTCCCCACGTGCCTCCACCGCTCCATACCGCGCCCCACGTGCCTGCACCGCTCAATACCACAAGCTACTCTGCTGCGGCACACTCACAACCCCAACACATGCGCACAGGCCCGCCCCATCTGCTCTCCATGCCGCCCGCGCTGCATGCTGTGCCGCCCGTGTCTGCCGCCCTTGCTCCCCCTGCCACACTTGCTCCACCTGCTGCCCCTGCTGCTGCTCCTGCTGCTGTTCATTCCGCAGCCACTGCTGATGCTGGTGGCGGAAGCAGCAGTGGTGGTGGTGGTGCTGCTGCTAGTGGTGGTGGCGGTGGTTTCGGGTTTGAGTTGGATCTGAACGCGCCATTAGACGAGGACGAAGGTGATGCTCAAGGTCAGAATGACGGCCACTTTGAAGGTCAGCTCGAAGCTCAGTTTGATGCTAAAGCACGGGGTGAAGCGGAGGATGAAAGAGAAGTAGAAATTGGACGTGAACGTGCAGATGGTGGTGCTGACTCAGCGCGAGGTGGTGCTGACTCAGTGCGAAGCGGTGCTGACTCGGGCAGGGACCACAGCACGGTCACTGATGCGAGCGGTGCTGCTCTGAGTGGTGGGGGCGAGAGAGGGGCGGGAGGAGGGGGTGGGGCAGAGGAGAAGAGCCTGGGGAAGGAATCAAGTAGTCCTAGGAGGGATTTCCTGCATGATCTCAATATGACTCAGGAGGAGGGGGAGGTGGGGCAGGAGGAGAGGGAGGGAGGACTGGAAGAGGGGAGCGAGAGAGGGGTGGTGGGCGGGCAGGGAAGGGGAGATGATGGGCGAAGGAAGGGGTTTATGGTGGATATGAATATGGCTTTGGATGGGGAGGAGGGCGGGGAGGAAGGGACAGTGGGGGGAGTTGCTGGGAGTGAGGGGGTGGAGAGTGAGGGGGTGGAGAGTGAGAAGGTGGAGAGTGTGGGGGTGCCTGGTAAAAATGGAGGGGAATGGGGGGGTAGGGGAGATGGGGAGAGGAGGGAGGAGAGGGGCAGGGAGGAGGTGGGTGAAGCAGGCGAGGGGATTCAAGGGGAAGGGCAGGAGGTTAGAGGGGTTGGAGGAGAGGAGGCAGAGGCAGCGGAGGAGGCGGAGGAGGAGGAGATGGGGGTGGTTGGGTTGCTGGGTCTTGCAGAGGCTCTGGAGGGAATGGCTGCTGGTGCTGCTGATGGTGATGGTGATGCTGCTGCTGCTGCTGCTGCTGCTGCTGCTGCTGCTGGTGCTGCTGGTGCTGATGGTGGTGCCATGGCTTCTGCTGCTGCTGGTGCTGCTTGTGCCGCTGGTGGTGGTGATGGTGCTGAGATGGCTGCGATTCCTGCTGCTCCTTCCGCTATCCCTCTCTCCTCCACCATCCCTGCTGCCTCCTCCGCCGCTGCTGCTGGTGTTGCTCAGGAGGACACGGCTGGTGGCCCCTCCTCTGCCTCTCCTCCCCCTCGTGCCTCGGGAGCTGAATCCACTGATAATGCTGGGGCTGATGTGAGGGTACAGGGGGGGGTTTCGCAGGGGGTCATACAGCGGGGCGCGGAGGGGGGCGCAGAGGGAGAAAAGCAGGGGGGCACAGAGAAGGAAATGCAGGGAGGAACAGAGGGGGGTGCAGAGGCAAGAAGAGGAGTGGTGCACGTGGCAGGGAGAGGAGAAGCGGCAGTGGGAGGAGGGGAAGGGGAGGGGGGCGAGAAGGGGGTGGAGGGAGACGCAGTTGCAAGTGCGGAGGTTGGGGAGGGGAAGAGGGGGAAGAGAGGCGCAGGCGAGGGGGAAACGGGGGGCAGGGAGGGGAGAGAGGGGAAGGAGAAGGGGAAGAGGAGGAGGAAGGAGGTTCGACTTGCAGCGTTACCAGGGGAAGCTGGTACTGGTGGTAGTAAGGAGGCTGGCAGTAGGGACGCAGGTGGTAGGGAGGCAGGTGTTAGGGAGGCAGGTGTTAGAGAGATGGGAGTGGGAGGAGAGGGAGGGGCAGAGGCAAGCGGTGGTACAAGTGATGTGCTGGGAGCAGGAGCGGGAGAGGTGTTGGGGGGTGTGGGTGGTGTGGGTGTGGTACAGAGGGGTGTAAAGAGATTGAAGGTAGAGGAGCTGGGGGGTGAAGGGAGTATGGAAGGGGCGAGAGGGAGTGTGGAGGAGGGAGAAGCGGTTGGGATGGGTGCAGTTGGAGCAGCAACTGAAAGGGGGCCAAAGGGCACTGTAGGTGCCCACGTTGCTGTGGCGTCTGCTGCTGTTTCCGCAGCTGATTCGGCCCTTGCTGCTGCTGCCCCTGCCTCTGCTGTTGCTGCTGCTCCTGCTGCTGCTCCTGCTGCTGCGCCTGCTGCTCCTGCTCCTGCTACTGCTGCAACTACTGCTCCTGCTCCTGCTGCCGCTGCTCCTACTCCCCCTCCTGCTGCTGCTGTAGGCAAGGAGGAGGGGGCAGTGAAGAGAGAGGAGAGTGGCAGCAGGGAGGAGGCAGAGGGGCCGAGGGAGGGGAAGGGGAAGAGGGAGAGGGAGGAGGAGGAGGAGTTGGTGGCGGCAATAGTGGGGAGAAAGCTCACCGCCCTGCCTCCTTTCAGCAAGGCCGAAGGTGAGACGGTGGTGTGGTGGTGGGAGATTGTGATGGTGATGGTGGGGTGTATTAGAGCACCAGGTTGGTGCCATCGGTTCAGAGCAGGCAGCGATAGTGGGGAGAAAGCTCACCGCCCTGCCTCCTTTCAGCAAGGCCGAAGGTGAGACGGTGGTGTGGTGGTGGGAGATTGTGATGGTGATGGTGGGGTGTATTAGAGCACCAGGTTGGTGCCATCGGTTCAGAGCAGGCAGCGATAGTGGGGAGAAAGCTCACCGCCCTGCCTCCATTCAGCAAGGCCGAAGGTGAGATGCTAGGATATTTGCCGCGTCCTCTCTCCCTGTCTCTGCTCCTTGTCCCCTCTCCTTCCTCCCCTCTCTCCTGTCTTCCCTCTCCCACCCATCCCACCCATCCTTCAACCCCCACCCACCTTCACATCCTCCCCATCCCCCTCCAGGACTCGATCTGCTTGACCTGGTATGGTCGGCCCACGCACGCAACGATCTCCCTTCTCTAGACGCCCTTCTCGCCCAGACCATCGCCCTCTGCCATCGCCACATGGCCTTCCACGCCGCTGCTGTCTCTGCTCCTGTTTTCCCTTCTCACCTCTTCCTGCCTCTCCCCACCTCTCCCCATCCCCCGTCCAGGGCTCGACCTCCTCGACCTGGTATGGTCGGCCCACGCTCGCCACGACCTCCCTTCACTAGACGCTCTGCTCGCCCAGACCATCGCCCTCTGCCATCGCCACATGGCCTTCCACCCCAACTTCCCTCTTCCCTCCCCCTCCTATCCCCCTCCAGGACTCGACCTCCTCGACCTGGTGTGGTCAGCACATGCACGCAATGACCTACCCTCACTGGATGCTCTGCTCGCCCAGACCATCGCCCTGTGCCATCGCCACATGGCCTTCCATGCCGCTGCTGTCTCTGCGGGTCCCTCCTCGCTGTCCCTCGCACATGCCTCCCCCGCCGCCACCGCTGCTGCCCTTGCATCGGCCCGCTACCACTACTGCTCGCTCGCGTTTGTTTCCAAGAAGATTCCTGAAGCCTTTGGTCTGCGGCGCACCAGGGAGGTGAGGGGGGGAAAGGGGAGAGAGGGGTGAGGGGGGTGAGGGGGAGTGAGGGGGGGAAGGGAGAGGCAATCTGTCGATGCTGCTGCGTGTGCCTCTGCCCGTGTCAGAATCTCCCTTCCTTCCTCCACGTCCTTTCTCTGCTTCCTTCATCCACTTTCCCCCAGGCGCTCCTATCAGTGCTGATGGCACCAGATGCAGAGGACACAGACGGTTTTTGAGGCGTCTCTCGAATTCAGATTCATCTTTCCGTCCGCCACTTTCCACCGCTTCCCTACTCCGCTTCCTTCTCCCACGTGCTTCCTCCTCCTCCATGCAGGCGCTCTTATCAGTGCTCATGGCACCAGATGCAGAGGACGCAGGAGCAGCAGGAGGGGGAGACCGAGGAGGAGCAGGAGGAGGAGGAGGGGGAGGAGGAGGAGCAGGAGGGGGAGGGGGAGGGGCAGGGGAGAGGGCGTTACGGAAGGCCACACCGGTGCTGCTACAGGCGCTTGCATGCCGGCTGCTGCTGCGCGCCTTTGCTGCTCGCCCCCGCTGGCCCGTTGCTTTCCTAGAGGTAAGCTTCGTTGCTGAGTATGCTTTACAATTTACTGCCCGCCCCCACTGGCCTTCCTGCCTGCCTGCCTCCTCCCCTCTTGACCCACAGCAGTCATTTTTTGCCGTCTTAGCGATTCACCGGCTCGCTAGCCCGCCAACTGCTGGCACCCGGTCTCTCGATCCCTTCCTTGCAAGGAAGGGATCCTCAGGCCTCGATCCCTTCCTTGCAGCATCACTCTCCCTCCTTCCGCCTGTCTCTCCTCCCCCCCATTCCCTCAGGCCTATCTCAGCGATGCCTGTGGCCCACGCCACTGGGTAGACCTGGACACCTGCAGGGACTTCGTCTCGGCCATCTCTGCCTGCCTGCCTCACTCCCTCGTCGCTCCTCCCCCCGCCCTGCTCCGCCCTCTCGCTGCCCCACCTGCTGTCGCTATTGCTGCTCGTGCTGCTGCTGGTCCTGGTGGTGCTGCTGGTTCTAGGATTTCGGCTGCAGCTGATTCGGCAGACTCTGGAGGGAAAGGGCTGAAGGGGAGGGCGGGAGCAGGGGGCCCTCCTCGCTCCCCTGCTGTCAGCACCAGCAGCGTTGGTGGGGGGAGCGTGAGCGGTGGTGCTGCTGCAAAGAAAGGGGTGAGTGGATAGAGAAAGATGGTCATGTGCTGGCTAATAACAGTTGAGCGGGAAAAGGGTGCGTGAGAATAGGGGTGAGGGGAAGAGCAGGGGGGAGCGGCCCTCCTCGCTCCCCTGCTGTCAGCACCAGCAGCGTTGGCGGAGGCAGCTTGAGCTGTGGTGCTGCTGCGAAGAAAGGGGTGAGTGGATAGAGGCAGGCAGATGAGCATGGGGCTGCGAATTCTCAGGACAGGGTCTGTGAGGAGTGTGTGCGGGTGGGGGTGCCTGGGGATGGGGATGCCTTTTATCCCTTTTTCTCCTCCTTACCCCTATTCCCCCTCCTCTCGCTCTCCCTCTTTCAATCTGCCCCAGGCGTCAGACACTGCCACGTCATCAGAGAGGCTCGGAAGCATCGGCTTGGATCGGTTTGGAGGTTCGGAAACCGAGGCTGAGATAGAGCGGCTGTTTGTGGGCAGCATTCAGCGGATGGTCAGCTCCGGTAGCAGCAGAGAGAATCCGAGGCACCTCATCAGGTGTGTGGGTGGCAGCAGGGAGGGGATTGAGTCGGATATCAAGTGGTGGGAGGGGGGCAGTGGGGAGGCAAGTGTGGGTGCTTGTGGGTGTAACTTGCAAGACAAGCATTCAGCCGATGGTCAGCTCTGGTAGCAGCCACGAGAGTCCAAGGCACCTGATCAGGTGCGTTGGGGGTGGGGAGGGTAGCATGGCACCTCATCATCAGGTGCGTGGGCGGTTTGACTGGCAGGCGTGGGTGGTTGTGGGGAGTAAGACAAGCATTCAACGAATGGTCAGCTCCGGCAGCAGCCGAGAGAATCCGAGGCACCTCATCAGGTGCGTGGGTGGCAGGCTTGGGATAGGGTCGGATGTCTCAAGTGGTGGGAGGCGGTTGGGAGGCAGGCATGGATGGTTGTAGGGAGTAAGACAAGCATTTAGCGGATGGTCAGCTCCGGCAGCAGCCGGGAGAATCCGAGGCACCTCATCAGGTGCGGGGGGGGAGGGGTTGGGGTAGCAAGAAACCTGATTAGGTGCGTGGGTGGCGTGGTGCATGGGATAGGGTCGGATGTTGAGTGGCGAGATGCGGTACCAGGAAGAAAGTGTGGGTGGTCTTGGGAGTAAGACAAGCATTCAGCAAATGGTCAGCTGCGGTAGCAGGAGAGAGAATCCGAATCACCAACACATCTTCCCCTTCCCTTTCCCCTCCCCTCCCCGCCCCTTCCCATCTCTATGCCAGGCTGCTGGTGCTGGGAGCAGGATATCTTCTGGTGAGAGTGCAGGCGGCTGTTTGTGCAGGCACAATCACTTCTTATCCATGCATCACCATATCCTTCCCGTTCACTCCCCCTGTCCCCCTCGTCTCGTCTGTACTCCAGGCTGCTAGTTCTAGGGGCGGGGTATCCGCTGGTGAGAGTGCAGGCGGCCTCTCTCCTCCCCCCATGGCTCTCCTCTACTGTCCACGCCCGCTCTGCTCGCCTGCTGCTGGAACGAGTGATAGCTCTTACCCGCGGCACCAGTGCTGCTGATTGGCGCACATTAGAGCACCTGCTGAGCATCAAGGTGAGTGTGTGGTGCGAGTGGGCTGGCAATTCGGTTACGGTTGGAGCGAGCAGTGGGGCTCACTCGGGGCACCACTGCTGCTGACTGGCACACCCTGTAGCACCTGCTCAGCATCAAGGTGAGTTGCTCATGTGACTGCACCAAACCTTTCACTGTGAGGCCGCTGCCCTGGGGTGCTGTGAGTGAGGGGAGTCGACGCGTGAAAGCGTGCGTGCAGCGTATGAGAGTGCGGTGCAGCGTATGAGAGTGCGGTGCAGCGTATGAGAGTGCGGTGCAGCGTATGAGAGTGCGGTGCAGCGTATGAGAGTGCGGTGCAGCGTATGAGAGTGCGGTGCAGCGTATGAGAGTGCGGTGCAGCGTATGAGCGTGCGGTGCAACGTATGAGCATGCGGTGCAGCGTATGAGCGGGCGGTGCAGCGTATGAGCGTGCGTGCAGCGTATGAGCGGGCGGTGCAGCGTATGAGCGGGTGGTGCAGCGTATGAGCGTGCGGTGCAGTGTATGTGCGTGCGGTGCAGCGTATGAGCGGGCGGTTCAGCGTTTGAGCGGGCAGTGCAGCGTATGAGCGTGCGGTTCAGCGTATGAGCGGGCGGTGCAGCGTATGAGCGGGCGGTGCAGTGTATGTGCGGGCGGTGCAGCGTATGAGCGTGCAGTGCAGTGTATGAGCGGGCGGTGCAGCGTATGAGCGGGTGGTGCAGCGTATGAGCGTGCGGTGCAGTGTATGTGCGTGCGGTGCAGCGTATGAGCGGGCGGTTCAGCGTTTGAGCGGGCAGTGCAGCGTATGAGCGTGCGGTTCAGCGTATGAGCGGGCGGTGCAGCGTATGAGCGGGCGGTGCAGTGTATGTGCGGGCGGTGCAGCGTATGAGCGTGCAGTGCAGTGTATGGGCTGTGAGGGGAGTCATCACATGCCCCTCACATGCCACTCGCGTGCCCCTCACATGCCACTCACATGCCATGTGTGTATGCTCAGACAAAGGGGTCAACACAGGGAGGCAGCACACTGCCGTTAGTGTCTCAGGTCGTCAACATGCCCCTCTCATCACATGCTTATCACATACCCCTCACATGCCCATCTCATGCCCCTCACATGCTTATCACATACCCCTCACATGCCCATCTCATGCCCCTCACATGCTTATCACATACCCCTCACATGCCCATCTCATGCCCATCACACGCAACTCATATACCATTCATGCCATGCATGTGCCATTTGTGTGCAGGCAAAGGGGTCATCACAGGGAGGCAGCACGTTGCCAATGGAGATAGCGGCTCAACTCGTCAACACCCGCCCCTCGCACACACCTCATATGCCTATCCCATCCCCTCACACGCACCTCATATGCCTATCCCATCCCCTCACATGCCATGTGTGTACAGGCGAAGGGGTCGCAGCAGGGAGGCAGCACACTGCCCATGGAGATAGTGGCTCAGGTCGTCAACATTCGTCCTGAATACGCTGCCTTTGTCATCAAGGTGACTTCGCTATTTCATGCCTTGCCATTGTATGCCAGTGCATGCCATGCCACTCTCTAGGTCATTTCCTGCCATGTCGCATGCCCTCGTGTCTGGGAGGGGGGGAGTTTTCAGGCCGACGGGCTTGAGGAAACATTCCTTGAGGAAAACCGTTCTTGAATGCATGTGGAATAACACCCCTTCCACTCCTTCTGTTCCCTTTCACAATTCATCCCCTCTTTTGCCTTTCGCGTGGCCCTCTCTCATCTCTCGCAGGCCCTTCTTATGTGGGAGAGTCGAAAGGAGTCGCCTCACCACATGCGAGTGCTTGCAGCAGCAGTCAGAGCGATGGTCGCGGGGAAGGGGGAGGGGACGGAGATTCTTTCATGCACCTCACATTACACCACTTACACTCCTGTTTCTTTTCCCGTGTCCCTCTCTCATCTCGCCCAGACCCTTCTGCTGTGGGAGATTCGAAAGGAGTCACCCCACCACATGCGTGTGCTGGCAGCAGCTGTCAGTCAGGGCCATGGCTGGAGGGGAGGGGGAGCGGAAAGAGATTGCTTCATGTGCCTCACATAACACTGCTTCCGCTCCTTCTGTTCCCTTTCTCGTGCCCCTTCTCATCCCTCCCAGACCCTTCTGCTGTGGGAGGTTCGGAAGGAGTCGGCCCATCACATGCGAGTGCTGGCGGCAGCAGTCAGAGCGATGACTGGGGGGGAAGGGGAGGGGACGGAGGGTGCTGGAGCAGGGAGGGAGAGGAGGAGGGAAGGGAAGGGAGGTGGCGAGGGCAGGGAAGGGAAGGGAGGGAAGGGGAGGGAAAGGAAGAGGAGTGATGGGGTGGGGGTGGAAGATAAAGCAGGGGCAGATGGGAGGGTGAAGGGGGAAGGGAAAGATATGGTGGAGGGGAAAGAAAAGGCAGAGGGGAAAAAGGGGACGGAGGGGAGGGAGAGGACTTGGAGGGTGTATCCTGAGGTGGAGATCGGCAGAGTGCTGCAGGTGAGGCCAAAACTCCCTTGCTCCTTCCTAATCTCCCTTTTCCCCACGCTCTCGTCTCAAACTCCCACGCTCTCGTCTCAAACTCCCACGCTCTTGTCTCAAACTCCCACGCTCTTGTCTCAAACTCCCACGCTCTTGTCTCAAACTCCCACGCTCTTGTCTCAAACTCCCACGCTCTCGTCTCAAACTCCCACACTCTTGTCTCAAACTCCCACGCTCTCGTCTCAAACTCCCACGCTCTCGTCTCAAACTCCCACGCTTTCGCCTCAAACCCTTCCCTCTCGCCTCAAACTCCCACCCTCTCCCTTTCCCTACTCCTCTCTCCCTTCCCCACATTCCTCTCTTCCCTCCCCACTCCCCTGTCCTTCTCCCTTTTTCTGCCCCTTCTCCCCTCCTCTGTCCGCCATCAGGAGTTCTCAGTGAATCCAATGCTCAATCCGCACCTCCCATCCTCCCCACCCCCACCTGTCTGATCCCCTCTCGTGCCTTTCTCCCTTACCCTGCATTTCCTCCCCCCTATCCTTCCCCTCCCCTCTGCCCTCCCCCCCCCCCTCAGCACGCCATCAGGAGTTCTCAGTGAACCCCAACGCTCAACCCGCACCTCCCAGCCCTCTTGTCTAAAAAATCCCCTTCCTTTTTTAACTGCTCTCCCTTTTCCTCCTCTCTCTTCCCCCCTTCCTCCTCTGTCCGCCATCAGGAGTTCTCAGTGGATCCAACGCTCAACCCGCACCTCCCAGCCCTCGCAACCAAGTAAGCTTCACCACACACTCGTGTGCCTGCTTTCCCAACCACGCTGCTGCTTCGTCCATCCACCTGTGTTGACAACTCTTCCACTCCTTGCCACTTGCAGCCTCAGCCCTCCCATTCCACCTCACTCCTCTCTCCTTCCCATCCCCCTCTCCTCCGCCGTCTGCCCTCCCCTTCCTCCCCCTCTACCCCATTCCCTTCCTTCTGTGGCACCCCACCCTCCAGGCTCCTCCGTGCTCTCTCTGGCCTCATAACGCCCCTCCACCTGTGTCGCCAGCTCTTCCACCCCTTGCCACTCGCAGCCTCACACCTGCCAGAGCTCTTCACCTCCCTCTTTCTCACTGTCCATTTCCCCTGCCTCCTGCCTCCTGCCTCCTGCTTCCTCCCCCTCCCTCTCCCTGCCCCAGGCTCCTCCGTGCTCTCTCTGGTCTCATAACGCCCCTCCACCTGTGTCGACAGCTCTTCCATCCCTTGCCACTCGCAGCCTCAGCGCTTCCAGAGCACCTCACTTCCCTCTTTCTCTCCTTCCCTCTCCCCTGCCTTCTTCCCTCCCCCTGCCACTGCCCTCCCCGGCCCCCCCCTCCAGGCTCCTCCGTGCTCTCTCTGGTCTCATAACGCCCCTCCACCTGTGTCGCCAGCTCTTCCACCCCTTGCCACTTGCAGCCTTAGCCATTCCTGCCCTTCCCCCTTCCCTGCCTTCTGTCCATCCCCCCTGCTACAGGCTCCTCCGTGCTCTCTCTGGTCTCATAACGCCCATCCACCTGTGTCGCCAGCTCTTCCACCCCTTGCCACTCGCAGCATCATCCCTTTCTACCCCTCCCCCTTCCCTGCATTCTGTCCATCCCCCACCTTCCAGGCTCCTCCGTGCTCTCTCTGGTCTCATAACGCCCCTCCACCTGTGTCGCCAGCTCTTCCACCCCTTGCCACTCGCAGCATCATCCCTTTCTACCCCTCCCCCTTCCCTGCATTCTGTCCATCCCCCACCTTCCAGGCTCCTCCGTGCTCTCTCTGGTCTCATAACGCCCCTCCACCTGTGTCGCCAGCTCTTCCATCCCTTGCCACTCACAGCCTCGGCCCTGCCATACCGCCTCACTCTGCTCTCTCTCTCCCTCCCTCTCCCCTGCCTTCTGCCCTCCCTCTGCCACTGCCCTCCCCATCCCTGCTCCAGGCTGCTCCGTGCTCTATCTGGCCTCATCACCGCACTCCACCTGTGCAGACAGCTCTTCCATCCCTTGCCACTCACAGCCTCAGCGCTGCCAGAGCGCCTCCTCGTGCCGGCCTACTGCCGCCTCGCATCGCTCGTCCGCACTCTGCTGCTGCTTCACCTATCTGCTGCCGCTTCTGGTGCTGCCGCTGCTGCTTCTGGTGGTGCTGCTGCTGCCTCAGCTTCTGCTGCTGCTGTCATCGCTGCTGCTGGTGAATCTGCATCTGCTCAGCGTGATGCCGCTGCTGCCTCAGGCCATGCGGGTGCACATGGGCAGACGTACAGGCATGGGGATGGGGATGGGGAGGAAGGGAAAGCGGAGGGACAGAGAGGAGGGAAGGAGAGGGAGCAGAGCGAGGGGTTGACCAAGGCTCTCTTTGACGCAGCATGCGTGCAGGTATGCAGGCGCAACCCACGTATGCCTGTATGCATATGCGTGCATCTGTGCAGGTATGCAGGCGCAACCCACGTATGCCTGTATGCATATGCGTGCATCTGTGCAGGTATGCAGGCGCAACCCACGTATGCCTGTATGCATATGCGTGCATCTGTGCAGGTATGCAGTGCATGTGCAAGCGCTGCCGTGTGTGTGCATGCATATGTGCATGTATGTGGCTTGCGTGTGTGTGTGCATATGTGCGAATGTGTGTGCATGTCTGTGAACGTTAGTGTGCACATTTGTTGAAAGTGGGTGATTCAGTGTGCATCATCTCTGAGAATTCTCAAAAGTGATTTCAGCATGTGCGTGTGTTCTTGAACCCCTTCCTCACTATCTCCTCACGCGCTACCCTCTCTCTCCCCCACTTCCCCCCAACAGACCGAGACAGCCCCCTCCTGCGCCAACCACCCCCCCACCACAGTGGTCGTGTTTCAGCCGAGTCAGAAGCTTGTTCTCCTGCCTTGTGTTCCTGCGCCCTTTTCCCTCCTCCCCCCCAACACACCAGACGGAGGCAGTGACCTGGTGTGCCACAGTGGTGGCAGCAGTCCGCAGCAGCCTCTGCCCCTCGCACCCGCTGAACCTGCCTTCAAGAGGCTGCCTTTGCGCACCTTCCTCCCTCACTATCCCCTCCTGTGCTGTCCCTCCCCTGCCCCTGCCTCTCCCCCCCAACACACCAGACGGAGGCGGTGACCTGGTGTGCCACGGTGGTGGCAGCCGACTGCAGCACCCTCTGCCCCTCGCACCTGCCCTCTGCACCTGCTGCTGCTCAGAAGCTCCAAAAGCAGCAGCAGCAAGGAGTGAAGCAGGAAGAAGGGGAGGCAGTAGGAGCAGGGGCAGGGGCAACAGAGGCGGGGATGCGTGCGATTCAAATGGGTTCAGAGGGGTTCGGTGCGGTGGGGATCGGTGTGACCATCTTTGATCTGCTCCGCTGTGTGCTGTTCTTCGAACCCATCCCGGTATGTCACCAACCATTTTCGCAAGCCATGCAGCTGAGAAGTAGTGAGCTGAGTTGTTTCATTACTGTTTCCTAGAGTCGCATCAGCAGCTGGTTTGCGGGACTCAACACTTGGGACAACCAGGCCCGTCCCATTGAGGGCTTTTTCTTTTTGTTCTTCTGCAATTAGGTTTCTTTTGTCTGATGACGCGCCAATGCCAAGCTCTTCCTGTTTCTTCCAAGTCGTCCCATTTAAGTCGTTTCTTCTGCCATTGTTAAGACGAGACATTGCTCCCTCTTCTTTGCCTATCGTGATTCAGGAAGCTTCTTGGAAAGCGCTCAAGAGAGAGGAGGGCAGTGCAGGAACAAAGGATGGTGGAGAGGAGGGGGGTACGGGTGGTGGAGGGGATGTGGGAGAAACGGAGGAGGAGGAGGAGGGAGAGAGAGTGGTGGAAACGTGGGGACTGCCGGTGCTGGAAGAAACTTTAGCTCGAGTCATTCTGCTGGGAATATCCGTGAGTCCCTCTCGCCGCTGCCTGTCTGCTGTAAGCGCATCACTCTGTCTCTTGGAGTCATTTTCTCAAAGTAGGCGTGTTAGGAGGAGGGAGTGAGAGTGGTGGAGACGTGGGGGCTGCCAGTGTTAGAAGAAACATTAGCTCGGGTCATCCTGTTGGGAATATCTGTGAGTCTGTCTCGTGCTGCCTGTACGCTGTGGGGGCGTTATGAGAATGCTCAGTGCTGCCGGCGCTGGAGACTTTACCTTGTGTCATTTTGCTGGGAACACCTGCAGAATTTGACTTGACTCATACTCAAGTTGATTCAGGGACAAGGAGCTTAAAACTGACTGACCCTTACCTTATCATTACGCCCCCACACATCCCAACCTCCCAGTCCGGGGGACCGGTTCAGGACGAAGCCATGCACATGCTGCTGTTGCTGCTGCCGCCTTGTGTTTCCCTCCCCCCGACTTCCTTCCTGACCCAACTCCTCGCACAACCCCCATCCCCCTTCACCGTCCCCTCGCCCCCCACAGTCCCCAGGACCAGGTCAGGATGCGGCCATGCAAATGCTGCTGCACCTGCTGGTGCGAGCTGCTACAGTGCCCTCCCTCTGGGCGGGAAGGCTTGTCGTTTCTGGCCCTCAGGTGGGTGTTCTTGCAACCCTGCCGCCTTTCCCTGTGTCCGTCCGTCGTTGGTCCCACCACCTATCTTTCTGCCAATCGTCAACTGCTCTTTCCCCTCATCATAGCATTTTCCTCATTTCCAAATTTTTTTTTTTTTTTTTTCCTTTTCAAAACAGCTTCCTTCAGAAAATCATACTAATACTTATCTACCTCGCTCGCCCCTCTTCATCCTTTTCTCCCCCACTCTCCTCCAGCTGTCAGCAGCGATATTCAAGCTCGCCTCAGTGGTCCTGCCGCGCCCTCTCCTCGCCCTCCACCCGCCTCCTCCCAAGCTGCTCGCTGCTCGCCGCTTCTGGCAGGCCTGCTGTGCCGCCGTCCTCATCACTGCCCTCTCCGCCTCACCCCCCTCCCTGCCTCCTCCTCCTCCTCCCACTCCTCAACCTTCCTCTGCTCCTCCTCCTCCTGCTGCGCCCTCTTCAAGTGGCGGCAGTGGCGCTGGTGGCTGCTTCCCATCGTGCCAGTCACCAACAGTGCAGCGCATGCTGGAAGCACTCTTCATGCACCATGTGCCATCCGTGTAAGTGGGTCATATGGGCACTGTTCATGTGCCATCGGTGTAAGCGGTTCATCAGGGCACTGTTTATCCATGCATGCATGAGCTGTTGGTGTGCCAGTCACCAACAGTGCAGCGCATGCTAGAAGCACTCTTCATGCACCATGTGCCATCCATGTAAGCGGGGTTTATGTGGATCACTAGGCCATGTTCATTCATGCATGCGTGCACTGTTGGTGGTGCCACTCCCATCGTGCCAGTCACCTACAGTGCAGCGCATGCTAGAAGCACTCTTCATGCACCACCATCCGTGCAAGGCACTGTTTATGTGGCAGCTGTGATAGCCATTCATTCTTACTGTCCATGTGCCAACCGTGTAAGCGACAGTAAAGAAAAAAAAAATTGCTACAAAAATGTATTTGAGACTTCACAAGCGTCACACAAGTGCAAACCTCCCTCATTTATTCCCTCCACTCCCTTCCCTTCACCTGCCTTGGCAGCACCAAATCACAGCACGCCACGTGGCAGAAGCAAGCCGAGCAGGACACCCAGGCCTCAGCCCTGCTGCGCCGTCTGCTCTCCTCCTCCCCACCGCCTCCCATGAAGCAAGAATGGCACGAAACTGCTGGTCTGGGATCAGGAGCAGCAGCAGCAGGGGAAGCAGAGGGTGGGGGCAACAGGGCGGGGGCAGCAGCAGCAACAGGAGGCTTGGCGGAGGTGCCTGCATGGCTGGAGGCGGAGATGGGGGAGGAGCTGCTGCTGCAGGAGGGGGAGGGGGAGGGGGAGGGCGCGGGGGAGCGGGGAGGCGGGAGGGGGGAGAGGCAGGGGAAAGAGGGCTCAGGGGTGGGTGCGGGCGCCGGGGGGGGCGCGGGGATGGGGGCAGGGGTGGGGGAGGGGCAAGAGAGGATGGGGTGGTATGTGCCGGAGGAGGTATGGGGGGTGGTGTGGGAGTGGGACAGGCAGTTTGGGCTGGGGCGGCTGTTGAGACAAGCCTTTGGCGCGTCTGCTCTGGAACGGCTCATACGCGCACAGGTGAGAGAGAGGGGAAAGAGGTGCTGGGAGTAGGGGAGGGCGAGAGAGGATTTGGGCTGGGCTGGGCCGGCTGTTGAGGCAAGCCTTTGGCGCCTCTGCTCTGGAAGGGCTCATTCATGCACAGGTGAGAGAGAGGGGCCACACATTCACACGCAAGAACGGATCCATTCCTTTTGAGAATTCTCAAAAGCGGCTGTTGAGGCAAGCCTTTGGCGCCTCTGCTCTGGAAGGGCTCATTCATGCACAGGTGAGAGAGAGGGGCCACACATTCACACGCAAGAACGGATCCATTCCTTTTGAGAATTCTCAAAAGCGGCTGTTGAGGCAAGCCTTTGGCGCCTCTGCTCTGGAAGGGCTCATTCATGCACAGGTGAGCAAGGGCCCGTTCGTTCCGTTTTGAAATTTCTCAAAAGTGATTCTTGAGGCAGGCCTTTGGCGCCTCTGCTCTGGAAGGTCTTATACACGCACAGATGGGGAGGGGACCTGCTCCCCTCTCCCTCTCCCACTCCCCTTCCCCCTCTCCCTCTCCGCATCCACTATCCCTTCCCCTCCCCTATTAGGCACCGATGAAAAATGATGTCTTTTCAGTAAGCCATTTCCCTATCCTTGCCGCTCCTCTCTCCCCCTCCTACCAGGGTGGAGTGGCAGCCTCATGGTCATGGCTGCACGGCTTTCTCTCGAGTGACCCGGCAGTGGTGGCTCATCTGGCGCCCACCACTCAGTGCGCCATACTCTACCAGCACTGGCGCCGGGAGGATGCGTCCCTTCCCTCCTCCTCCCCTCCGCCTCTCTCCCCCTCCCACACTCGAAGCACGGTACAGTTGCTGCAAGCTGCTGTTGCCAGGGAGGTGAGGGAAAGAGGAAAGGCAGGCGGGGCGGCAGGCGAAGAGGACAAAGAGAGAGCCGAGAGAGAGAGGGCAGCAGGAGGAGGAGGATCCGCAGAGGAAAAAAGTGTAGTGCTGGGTATCGTGGGGTTGCTTGCAGGCAAGCTGGCCTCTAGAGTTGAGTCCAAACGTGCCAGCAGCAGACGGTGCCTGGCTGAGATCTTCTCCCCGGACTTGCTACTGCTGCTGCTGGCTCCGGAATCAGCAGCAGCAGCAGGAGGAGGAGGAGGAGCAGCAGCATTTGCAGCAGCAGCACCAGCAGCAGTTGCAGAATCGGCAGCTGCTGCAGCCCTACCAGGAGAAGCAGCACTAGTGAAGAAGACAGGGGGCGGGCCCCATGGCGGGGGATGGCTGGCGGTGATAAACCAGCTGCCCATGGCACGGGCTGCTGCTCGCCTGCTCCTGCCAGCAGTTTCCTGTGCTGTGATGCGAGAAACACACATTCCCACGGTGAGTCCCTTTGCTGCATGAGGGGTGGCTGGAGGTGATAAACCAGCTGCCCATGGCACGGGCTGCTGCCCGCCTGCTCCTGCCAGCAGTTTCCTGTGCTGTGATGCGAGAAACACACATTCCCACGGTGAGTCCCTTTGCTGCATGAGGGGTGGCTGGAGGTGATAAACCAGCTGCCCATGGCACGGGCTGCTGCTCGCCTGCTCCTGCCAGCAGTTTCCTGTGCTGTGATGCGAGAAACACACATTCCCACGGTGAGTCCCTTTGCTGCATGAGGGGTGGCTGGAGGTGATAAACCAGCTGCCCATGACGCAGGCTGCTGCTCGCCTGCTGCTGCTGGCAGTGTGCCGTGCTGTGATGCGAGAAACACACGTTCCCACGGTGAGTCCCTTGATTGGTTTTGGCTTAATCCAGGGGTGAACCTTAATCCGGGGGTGAACCTTAATCCGGGGGTGAACCTTAATCCGGGGGTGAACCTTAATCCGGGGGTGAACCTTAATCCGGGGGTGAACCTTAATCCGTGGGCGAACCTTAATCCGGGGGCGAACCTTAATCCGGGGACGAACCTTAATCCGGGGGTGAATCTTAATCCAGGGGCGAACCTTAATCCGGGGGCGAACCTTAATCCGGGGGCGAACCTTAATCCGGGGGCGAACCTTAATCCGGGGTCGAACCTTAATCCGGGGGCGAACCTTAATCCGGGGGCGAACCTTAATCCGGGGGCGAACCTTAATCCGGGGGCGAACCTTAATCCGGAGGCGAACCTTAATCCGGGGGCGAACCTTAATCCGGGGGCGAACCTTAATCCGGGGGCGAACCTTAATCCGGGGGCGAACCTCAATCCGGGGGCGAACCTCAATCCGGGGGCGAACCTCAATCCGGGGGCGAACCTCAATCCGGGGGCGAACCTCAATCCGGGGGCGAACCTCAATCCGGGGGCGAACCTCAATCCGGGGGCGAACCTCAATCCGGGGGCGAACCTCAATCCGGGGGCGAACCTCAATCCGGGGGCGAACCTCAATACGGGGGCGAACCTCAATCCGGGGGCGAACCTTAATCCGGGGGCGAACCTTAATCCGGGGGCGAACCTCCGGGATGAACCTTAATCCGGGGGCGAACCTCAATCCGGGGGCGAACCTCAATCCGGGGGCGAACCTCAATCCGGGGGCGAACCTCAATCCGGGGGCGAACCTCAATCCGGGGGCGAACCTCAATCCGGGGGCGAACCTCAATCCAGGGGCGAACCTCAATCCGGGGGCGAACCTTAATCCGCGGGCGAACCTTAATCCGCGGGCGAACCTCAATCCGGGGGCGAACCTCAATCCGGGGGCGAACCTCAATCCGGGGGCGAACCTCAATCCGGGGGCGAACCCTAATCCGGGGGCGAACCCTAATCCGGGGGCGAACCTCAATCCGGGGGCGAACCTCAATCCGGGGGCGAACCTCAATCCGGGGGCGAACCTCAATCCGGGGGCGAACCTTAATCCGGGGGCGAACCTTAATCCGGGGGCGAACCTTAATCCGGGGGCGAACCTTAATCCGGGGGCGAACCTCAATCCGGGGATGAACCTCAATCCGGGGGCGAACCTCAATCCGGGGGCGAACCTCAATCCGGGGGCGAACCTCAATCCGGGGGCGAACCTCAATCCGGGGGCGAACCTCAATCCGGGGGCGAACCTCAATCCGGGGGCCACCTCAATCCGGGGGCGAACCTCAATCCGGGGGCGAACCTCAATCCGGGGGCGAACCTCAATCCGGGGGCGAACCTCAATCCGGGGGCGAACCTTAATCCGGGGGCGAACCTCAATCCGGGGGCGGACCTCAATCCGGGGGCGAACCTCAATCCGGGGGCGAACCTTAATCAGGGGGTGAACCTTAATCCGGGGGTGAACCTTAATCCGGGGGTGAACCTTAGTCCGGGGGAGAACCTTAATCCGGGGGTGAACCTTAATCCGGGGGTGAACCTTAATCCGGGGGTGAACCTACTTAAATCCGGGGGTGAACCCACCTTAATCCGGGGGTGAACCTACCTTAATCCGGGGGTGAACCTTAATCCGGGGGTGAACCTTAATCCGGGGGTGAACCTTAATCCGGGGGTGAACCTTAATCCGGGGGTGAACCTTAATCCGGGGGTGAACCTTAATCTGGGGGTGAACCTTAATCCGGGGGTGAACCTTAATCCGGGGGTGAACCTTAATCCGGGGGTGAACCTTAATCCGGGGGTGAACCTTAATCCGGGGGTGAACCTTAATCCGGGGGTGAACCTTAATCCGGGGGTGAACCTTAATCCGGGGGTGAACCTTCATCCGGGGGTGAACCTTCATCCGGGGGTGAACCTTAATCCGGGGGTGAACCTTAATCCGGGGGTGAACCTTAATCCGGGGGTGAACCTTAATCCGGGGGTGAACCTACCTTAATCCGGGGGTGAACCTACCTTAATCCGGGGGTGAACCTTAACTGAGTCAATCCTTTTTTTTTTTTTTTTTAATCTAAGGGTGTCTTGTAACCTTGTCCTGCTGCTGACCTGCTGCTCCAGCAGTGTGCCGTGCTGTGATGCGCACTGCACTGATTTTTTTATGGCTTTTTCCCTAACCTCCGGTATGTTCTTATTGCGTAAGTCCTTGTGTAAATATCATACCCCTTGTTAACTCCCAAGAACTTGCACTTACACATTGTGCTAACTCCCTCCCATTTTCCCTTCTGCTCCCTTGTGCCAGATTGTTGCATACATATCATACCTGCACTTCTGGTACCGCCGGCAGCAGAGCAACAAAGCTTGCAGGCAGCCACAGGGAGAGGCGACGAGTGTTTGCAGTGGGGAGGTGGAGGAGAAGCGTGGGGATAGGAAGGTGGGGGTGAGTGAAAAGATGGGGGAGGAGGAGGGGCGCGAGAAGGGAGAAGAGGAGGAGCAAGGGAAGGGAGGAGAGGAGGAAAAAGAGGAGGGAGAGGAGAGAAAAGAGGAAGTAGAGAGAATTGAGAAGGGAGAGGATGGGAACGAGAAGGGAGAAAGTGGAGGAGAGGAGAAGGGAGGGGGTGCGAAAGGAGGGGAGGAGAGAGGGGATGGTGGAAGAGAGGAAAAAGGAGGGGAGGAGGTGGAAGAAGAGCATGAGTGTGAGAAGGAGAGTGAGAAGGAGGGTGAGGAGGGTGAGAAGGAGGGTGAGAAGGAGGGTGAGGAGGGTGAGAAGGAGGGTGAGAAGGAGGGTGTGGAGGAAGGTGAGGGGGCAAAGCAGCGGGTAGGCACAAGGGTTGAGGAGGAAGCAACCAACCAACCAGCAGCTGCTCGTGCTCTGCTCGTCGCCACTCTTACCCCCGTATCTTCACCCCACACCTTCGGATCCTCCGCCCTCAACCTTCCCCCGCTCAATCTCCCCCTCCTCTTGGCGCGTCTCATCCGCACCCGCCCCCTCCTGGCTCGCCAGCTGCTCTCCCCCCTCCCCCCACTCCTCCCCCTTCCGCCCACCCAACCCCTCCCGCCCCTCCTCCCCATTTCGGGAGATGGGGGAAGGGCAAGGGAGAAGGGTGGAGAAGGGGGAAGGGCAGAAGGGGCGGAAGAGAATGCAGGGGGTGTGATGGGGGGAAGAGATGGCGGAAGGAGAGAGGAAGAAGACGAGGAAATGGCAGATGTTGGGGTTGAGGGGAATGAGGGTGATGGTGGGGAGATGGGAGAAGGGAGCATAAAAGGAAGAGGAGGCGAAGAGGGAAAGCGGAGGACGGGGGAGGAGTTGGGGGGTAAGGGGAAGAAGGTGCGGAGTGAGGGGGAAGGGGAGAACGGGGAGGAGGAGGGGAAGGGGGGAACAAAAGGGGAAGATGGGGGGAAAGAGGAGGAGGAAGGGGAAGAGGCTTTAGAACGCCCTCCCTGGTCGCCTGTGGGGAGCCATGGGGAGGATGGGGTTGAAGGGGGGAATGGGGGGGATGAGGGGGAAGAGATGGAGGAAGGAGAGAGGGAAGGTGGGCAGGAGACGGGGGAGAAGAGGGATGGGGAGGGTGGGGTAGGAGATGGAGCACAGGCAATGGAAGTGGAAGGAGGAGCAGAAGGGGGAGGTGGGGATGGTGGGGATGGTGGGGGCAGTGAGGATAAGGGTGAAGTTACCGCTGCTGTTTCTGCTGGTGCTTCCTGTAATGTTGCTGCTGCGGGGGAGGGGATGCAGGTGGACGGGAGGAGAGAGGGTGGAGAGGAGGAGAAGATGGAGGGGAGGGCAGGCGCGATGGATGGTGAGAGGCAGAGAGGAGGGGAGGGAGACGAGGGTGTGGGGTCATGGCATGTGGTGTGTGTGCTCTGTGATTTGCTGCGAGAGGCTCTGGAGGGAGGGAGTTCAGGGGGGATGAGGGAGGAGATGAGGGATGGGATGGGGAAGGATATGGGAACGGGGATGGGAGCGGGGGTATGGGGGCGGATAAGGGAGGGAAGGAGGGCTGACGGTGAAGAGTGGGTTCTCTTCGCCCCCGCTGCTGCTGCTGCGCGCACAGACGGCACAGATGCATCTGCTGCACTCCGTCCTGCCACTCCTGGGCTTGTCCTTGTTCCCCTGGTGGTTGTGCGGGCAGCTGTGGACGTGCTGTTGCTGCTCTCCTCCCTCCCTGCTCTCTCATTACCCCCCACCACAACAACTGCTCTCGCTCCTCCTCCTCCTGCTGCTCCCAGCACAAGTGCTATCGCTCGTGGCACCCCTCTCGCGTCCGATGCTGCAAGGAGCGCGTATCAACGGCTAACCCAGCTGCTCTTCTCTCATCCTATCACTCCCACTTCTGCTCTTGCTCTTGCTGCTGCTGCTGCTTTGCCTCCGCCTGTTGTAGCAGCAGCAGCTGCAACCACTGCTGTTGGGGCATCCAACGCTACAAATGGTGACCCTGATGCAGCTGTTACAGGTGCTGCCTCGGCCAGGGTGTGCTTTGAGGCGCCTCAAAATACAACTGCCGGCCCCGATGCAGCTGTGACAGGTACTGCCTCCGCCAGGGTGTGGCGAGTCAAGTCTGTGGCGTGCAAGGCAGGGGCGGGGAGGGCTTTGCAGGGAGGTGCGGGGATAGCTGCGGAAGGGGAGATGGAAGAGGGAGGGAAGGAGGTGGTGGAGAAAGGGGAGGAGCTGCGCCTTGTAACTGAGGATCAATCGTTGCGGTTTGGTGAGGAATGGAGGGCGATGGGGGAAGGTGGTAGGGATAAAGTTGGTGGAGCAGGAGGAGGAAGAGGAGGAGGCGATATGGATGTGGATGGTGGGAAAGGAAAGCAGAGTAGAGAGCTCACTCAGATAGCAGATGG